ACGGCCGGGCGTTCGGGCGGACGGACGAACGGACGGAGGAACCGGGCGACAGAAAGCAAGCACCCCACTGCGAAAAGCTTAGAGTTGTGGCAGCAAATGTAGTGAACTGTGCTCAGCAAATACAATCTCGAAGGAGAGCAACAACCGAGAAACCTGCTCCGCCAAATAATCAACTGCCAAGCCATCCGTGGGAATTACACTTGCAGTTGTCCTGTTGGCTGTGAACACTTCTCTGCCGGTTGTTCTTTTAATGGAGGGATATGTCGTGATGACCTGGCTGGAGTTCCCAACGGCAAATTCTCCGCAAATCGAAGCCAGGCGACGCCAAACTGGCCTTGTCAAGGCCAACAGGGATGGATGCACAAGCCGAGGTCGCAGTAAAGAACCTGAAACACGGTGCGAGCTGGTTGGGTGCTGAGCTTCAGGTTCTCGTTTTCAAGGCCCAGCTGTTTCCGCCGTTGTGGCTGAAATCCGCACGAAAGCTGAAAACCATCAGCTAACATTGTGATGAACAAAGCTCGCGCAAGTTCAAGCAGGTGTACATGCCCTGCTACCAACGGTTTCTTCATCTGGGAATGTTGGGGTCAGGAGTAGCTTGAGTAGCTAGAGTGAGTGCAAAGACTACACGGTCTGACAGTCTGACATGCTTGTGAGGAAGTCCTTGACTTCCGCTGCATGATCTAAGGAGGAAAAGCAGGCAGATCTCTAAGAACCTCTGGTCGACTGGTCCCATGGAACTTGCCATCGTTGCATTCTCCTTGCCATTCGGTCTCCGCCAGTCCGCCGGTGCCACCAGCATCTGTCTGAAGCCAAAGATCAGGATTTCAAATCCAAGCTCTGGTTCGCACCTTGATGTCGGTCCATGTCGGTGTTCCAACCATCAAGGATGCCCTGCAGCCGGGAGACCTTCCTTTGCCCTACAGATAACTCCTTATCCAAGTTGCATGCATGCACCACCCAAACTGGATTATGGTGTTGAAGGTTTGTAGGATGTTGCAACCAGAATGCCGTGGCCAAGCCTGTTTGACCACCGCTGTCCACACCCGAGGGGGGGGTGTGAAGCCCTTGCAACCCTTGAGTGACCCCATGAGCCGTGCCAGCACGGGGAAAGGAAGCAGAAGCCCCACACATCTTTAAGCCGGGGGGCACTGGGTGCACTGCAAGCTCGGAGTTGTCGCGCTCCGCGTTCTCAAGCGGTTCGGCATGCTGCGCAGCCCCAAGCACCACCGCAGTGATGGCTTGCTGGAACGAAGTGAAGCCTCTGGACACTTACAACAGGCTCCGAAATAGCCCTGTACATCCCTGCGCCCGGCCCGAACCCGAACAGAGCCAGGCAACTTTGCGGCTCGTGCCGGCATCTCTGCTGAAGGAGCCCAGTGATGCAGAGCTGTCTGCTGTCTGAGAAGCGCTCAGAAGACCGACCTCTGAAAGCTCGGACCACGGCGAACCCAAGGCCGCACATCCTCAGTCGATTCGAATACTGAAAATCCAGCCAATCTTCTGAACAAACACCAAAAACATGCACGAAAGCTGCCACAAGCATTGCACAACAACCGTTGAGGGCCGCACTATTTTAGCAGCGCTGAGCTCGCAAGTCTCCCCAAGTTGCCGCTTCCGGCGGCGAGACAGTCGCCACACAGGTGTGTGAAACCAGTAAATCGGAGAGGAACGGCAAAGCTAATCCTCCGCCTGAGCTCCGGAGAGTGAGCGTCACTGACACGACACGAGAAGTTGCAAGTGATGAGTGCAGACCGCATAGCTAAGCCGAGGGCATATGTCTGCCGATGTTGTACCAGATCGAAAACAGACGGATGATGTGCACTGATTAACCTGTCCGGGGTATCACCTGAGTTGTGAAGCATGCTGGCTCGCTACGGAGTGCTCGTAATCTCTTATAGACCCAGCTTTCGAGCAAAAGAGAAAGTTACCCATGCATCCCTAAAAATCCATAGTAGGTGCTGGGCACCTTCGCCGAAGCAGGGAGCCCGACAGCCCCAGCAAGTGCGGAGGAATCATTGCCACCTGTAAACATGAATGCGAAACATAGAAGACTCTTAGACAACATCACTTGCGCCTGGTCAGAATCTCTCCAGGTCCCCTTGCTCTGGCTGCCTCGCGGGAGCTCCCACACGCACACGTATTCTTGCGGCACTTGCGCCATTTGAGCCTCCAAAGTTGGGCATGCTCGAGGTCACCTGGCGCCAAGGCATGGTCAACCATTATTCCCGAGCCATGCGCGCTTAAACGAAATGTTCCTGGGAGCCACACACACAGAGATACATGCCGAAATGTTCTCATTCTGGCACGACAAGAATTAGAAGAATCTGCGGCAACCCAGACGGCGATTTGAAGCTCCCGAAAGTACTTAAGTTGAACCACCGCTGTCTCGTCTGAACCCGAGGCCTTGCTCTCGAGTCTTGAGCTGCCGGAAACATGAACATGAAGACAATTCGGGAGAAATCTTTGACAAATCTCAGTTGTGAACAGATCCAGAAATTCAGATTTCTCCAGACATGCAGTTCGCAGTGCGAGGCTATCGCTGCACAAACCTCTGTCTGAGCCGTAGCGGCTACTAGTACGATTTTGACTGCTGAAGTGCAAGTGGTCTGAGAAGTGAGGCTTCAGGTGAGAAGGAGTCGCGGCTCCTTTGTTTGCAGGGGCATGCTGACTAAGGTCGAGGACGCCTTGCTTTTCTTCCGCGAGCCTTCATAGCTTCATCGGGGAACGGGAAACTGCAAGCGGATGTTATGTCCAGTTTTGCGAAGCCGGCAGATCGCCTGCGCTTTGCAGGTCCTAGCGAGGAGCTCGCATGGATCATCAGCCATAGAAGGTATCTGACATGAAAGCAGGAGTGCAATCCTTCACAATCTGCTGCGAGTGTTGCACGCAACATGGCTCCGAAGACGCTTCCCAGTGGGTAGACACCTCACATCATTCTCTCAGCTAGCTGGAGGAAGACGACTTCTTGGCCTCCAGTGAATCGCCGGCGACACGATCCATGACGTGTGACGAGGACCGATCTCAGCCCATGACTTTTTTGTTTTTCTTCTGCTTCTTTTTTTTATCCTCCGAGGTTTGCTCCAACCATGGACATCATTCAGGCAGCTCAGCCTAGCCGAGACACCTTCTTCTTTTTTTTCTTATCTTTCTTCTTCCTGTGGACGCAAGTGTGGATGCAAGAAATGCAGTGCATAGTGCAGGACAGGAGTGGTCGCCCTTGTCGAGCTCAAGACGTCCAAACACACAGCAAGCGCAGAAACAAGCGATCCTTTTGCATGAGACAGAGGCATGGTTTTCACAACTGCGCAAACGTCAGCATGTCATCCACTACTTGTGGCTGCTACATTACATGATAGGAACATCTCAGCCACGCGCTTCTTCTTTTTCTTCCCCGAGGAAGAGCTACTGCCGGAAGAGGATGAGCTTGCGTTTTTTCTTGCTTCCTGCAGTCGAAGGCTTGGTCTCAGCAAGTCAAGCAGCATTTAGCATGCTGGATTCAACGACTAAAGAGGACTTCATGGATTTCATTGAGCCTATGCCCAATATATGCATGACACTTCGCGCGCATCATGCTACCCAATTTGCATACTTCTAAGCTTCTGCTGTACTTCATCGTCTTGTCTCCAACCAAAGTCAAGTGTCAAGCCCGTCCCAAGTCCTCTTCTGCACGCTCCCGCATTGCTGCCTTGATGCTGGCATCCTCGAATGGTCGATGCTGACTTGGGCTGCATTGCACCGTCGCTGCACATCTCTCCCTCTATCTATGTTCAACGGCTCAACATCTGAGGACTTTACCCGAAACATCACTGCACTGCAAAGCTGGTAAGCGTGTCCTGCATGAAGAATGGGATATCATCGTCCGAGTCGGCCTGGACATGCAGCATGCGATCAACCGGGACTTAACGATCGACAGACCTTCTCTGACTGCCCGACTACCCCTGACATGTTCCGTCTGGCAGCACAGTAACTTTGCAGCTCTCACGGAGTCAGACCCGAAACGGCGGTGGGATTGGGCCTTCGCCATCTCATCCTGCACATCACGTGAAGTGAAATGCCCTGAAGCTGCGCTGCTGTGCGAAATGTGCCTGCAGTTTCTTCTGCTGCTTTCGCAGCTCCTGCATGACAGCAGCTTGTACCCTCACCGATCTGAATTCAAGCCTCGCGCTGGTGCCGAAGCTCCTTTGCTCTTCGCTTATTAAGCTTCTTCACATGCTTCTTCTCATCGGCCTCACAGCCAGCTGCAGATGGAAGATCTGCGAATAACCACACCAGAGAGCATAGCGGAACGACCTCGTTTGCTTCTTCCTCGTATGATCTTTTGCCTCCTGACTCACCGGCTGTCGTATGGCTGCCAACTTCTGCGATCAATACTACCGCCCGAATGGCAGCAGCATCTTTCTGCAGATTCTGAAAGGGTGCATGTTGCGGCAGTCCTTTTCCGTTGATGATTTCGTAATACATATCCTTGACCTGCGAACCAGGCGTGCACAAGCTCACAAAAAATCCAGAACAGGACATCGACGGTCATCGCGGTTCTGTCTGCTTTTGAAAGTCGCCGGAGCCAGACTTGAGGCACTGATCTACGAAGCCAATCGCTTTGCCGGTGCACGAACCTCGCAAATCCTCCTGCCTTCTGCCCGATCGCATTGTCGCCTTCCTCGTCCAACGACGCCATGATGAGAAGCCGCGAATTATGCTGATGAGATAAACTACTTCTCAAATCTGCAGTTGCTTCTGCTTAAGACAGACTTCAACAAACTACAAGCTGGGGGCTTTGTCGAGGGCCGAAGCATGCATGACCTTGCCCCGACGGTCTCTCTATACAGCTGAATGAACCAGATCAACTGGAAGGTATTTCGCAGAAAACTGACTCCCACCTAACATCTGCAAGGCGATGGGCAAAGACACGGCGCCGGCCTGGTTTTGAAGGCGAATGGAGCGGTCTGCCGTGCCTCAGCCTGTCTTAGGCGTAGGCATGACGCGGAGGCTGCACCCATGGCTCAAATGTCGAAGTCAATCCTGAGTTGCAATCTGAGTTGTAAAAAGAACATGCTGACAACATGTGATGATCCTGCATCTGTTTCAATAGAGTGACATGAGGTCGGCACGGGGACCAAGGCTACCGAAAGTTTAAAGCTTGCGCACTGGCATGTAGCGAAGGTGCTCGATGCGCTGCCAGTGGCACTTCTGCTGCGCTTCAGCGCGCAGCTTCACATTATCGTGACAAAGTGCTGACAGCACTACCTGGCCCCAATACTGGAGCTGCGCATCTTCGCGGTGGTCTGCAAGCGCTCCCACGATTGCTGCGATACCACCCAACTTTGCCACGATCTCCTGACAATTGGACTCTTCCTCTGAATCCGATGTGCCCACTGCAGAGTCTTCTAGCAGGGCCTGCAAGGCTGCCAGGCAGGCCTGCTGAACGTGGGCATCGGTCCGAAAACGTTTCAAGGAAGCGACCACCACTTCGGGACAGCCGCAGCGAAGAGCCCTAAGGCGGGCTTCGGTCCCGGTGAAGGCGAGGAGCTCCAAGGCCTGCAAAGCCGCCTGGTGCAAAGCCGCAACGTTTGGGTGTGCCTCCAATGCCTTTTGGATGGCCTCACAAGCCCCAAAGTCTGCCAAGACTTCTGCCGCATCCAAAGACACCAAGGAAGCCAAATGCTGCAGAATGCGGCAGGCGATGAGCTGTATCTTCATGTTCTCAAGGTGCGCTGCCATACCGCTCAGGAGAAGCTGGGGCCCGTCGAGCTGAAGGAAGCGGCGCTGGCAGGTGCTACTGCGAAGCGTGGCGGCCTCCAGGCCCTCCAGCACCGCCGCGAGGGTCTCCTCCTTGCTTTCGACCTCTGCATCCGCTTCCCTACCCTCGCCGTCCTCGCCTAAGGCGAGGTCTCTCAGCTTCTGCAAGGAAGTCTCGACTTCATCCTTGCGACTTCCAACCTCGTCCAGCAAACCGCTCATGCTTCTGCTCATGCTCTCTTTTCTTCAACTTACTGAAACATTTCCGTGACCTTTGTGTGGATCGAATCTGCTCGAATGCCCGTGAGCAATACCGAGGTGTCGCCTAATTAGACACGATGGACAGCATATGGAACTCTTGCTACCACAGTGATGCACAGGCTCAGAGCCACAGGAAAGAGTGCATGGCATGAACAGGTGAGGCAGTCTCTCTCTGCTCCGCTGAACTCTGCTTCTTCCCTTGTCGCTTCGGGAACCTGTCAAAATCGGCGCCAGGAACAGGGATCTGAAGCTTGAAGCTTCCCACATTCCCACACGTGAAGTCGACGCACGTTGGGCTGTCGAAATCAGGAATCCTACACAAACCGTATAGGCTTCCTGTCTACGCAAAGACCTCAAGAGGCTGTGCGTAGTCTAAAACAAGATGCATAGGGCGTAGGGACCCCGGGGGTCCCAAAGCCACGGGTGGCGAACTTGGAGGATGGCTCACATCCTCTCATAACAGAGATATGATGAACTCCTCTTCCCCCGGACTTCGAGTCGAAGTCAGCGCGCAGCCCTCACCGGGGCCTGTGGCGGCCGCACCGCAAAGGGCAGCTTGGCCTCTGCCAACAGCATTGCTTCAAGACTGCCTGCAACTCAAACCCCAACCACCCCTGCTTGGCAGTGAGGCCGAACCAGGTCTACACGCCACGAAGGAGGTTGCATGCTCATAAGTTTGCCCTTGATCGTTACGACTTCTACTGTAGGACTGCAACACTGTCGCATGACACCCTGTGAGGACTTCGTCTGTTGCCCCTTGCCACGATCGAACGGAACCCGGAGCTCCCGCCTCTGCCATAACCATGGGTCCCTTTCTCTCCGCCAGGGCTTCCCCGTCCTTCACACCTGCGCGAAGCTCGGCAATTTTCTGTTTGCTGTGAGGCAAAGCCCCACAGAATTTTCGGAGAGGTGGTTAGATGGGCGTCGCATCTTCCGCGATTCTACAACTCCTGCTGGACACCACATGGAACAGAGCTTCTGTTGCTAGATTCACCAATTCTCAAGGAATCCTCCAAACGACTCTACTTCATGTTGACATTGCTGTTGCTACCGGCAAGATGCACGCTGCACGATCACAAGGAAAGGCTCCGGAAGCTGTTGCGCCTATGAGCGCATAGCCCTGTCGGAAAGCCAAACGCCCTTCCAGAGTTGCGCCAAGCCCTTGCAGTGCGTGGAGAGCTTCGCCGTCCAAATTCCTTACTTCACTCAGTTCAGGCACGAGCTCAACTGCCAATCTGGGGCATATTCGAGCTGCAGCTGAGCAGTTGGCTTCAGGCTTGATGCAATTCAGATTCTCTCCGCCCGAATCCTTCAAGGCTACCAGGACGATGTTGTCCTGCAGTGCATGCGCACAGCTTCGGTGCAAGATCTGCGGCTGAAATCATCTGAGATCCGTTGTGACTTGACTCGACCCAGTTCCGATCCAACGGCGCTTTTTGATCAGAGTTGATCCGTGCCGACCTGTCCTCCTCCACAGCTCTAAGGTCCTTTGCCAGTCTGCGGTTCTCTTCTAGCGGGTTTCCCCAAATGTCATAAGTCTTCGCAGACAGCAAATGCCCGGCTGAGGAGTCAATCACCACCACATTCAATCCGCGCCGGTTCGACATACCGCCAATCGGTACCTGCTGATCTTCCAGGAAAAAGTCTGCAATGTCCCCTGCATCGCCGCCGGCGCTGACGACTTTGACGGCAGTGGTCCCAATGGGCGGTCCCTTGCTGCTGGCCTTTGCTGCTCGCGAGGCTGTCGCTGACGAAGCCTGAAGCTCAAGAGATCATGGGGTTGAGTCTTGAAGCTGCCGGCTCCAGCCCCTGTTGCACAACAAGGAAAGCTCAGCTTTTTCGGCGAAGATCGAGTACAAACACAAGACAAGCCAGCCTGGCTCAACCGCACGATGGGAGGCGAAGTGCATCAACACACTGGCCGTGTTTCTTCCAACTCTGAGACCCTGAACAAGAGGTCCACTATGCAACCCGTCTTTCCCCCACAGCCTGACTGGCCGGCACCGGGGCCACCGGGATCTTCGCTTCCGGTGTCTCCGAGGGTGTGGGTGCCACTGGTGCAGTCTCGGCCTGGATTTCGCCTGTGAGCTCTTGCCGGAGCAGGCGGACCTGCGAGAGACAAGCTGCTCGGCCCTCTCACATTCGCTCGTCTTTTGCACTCCTGTTTGCTCTTTTCCCCCTTGCTCCCTCCGGAACAGCTTGCGAAGGAGAGTCATGCATCAACGTTCCGACCCTTCTCCGGTGCAGCTTGGCCTCCGAAACCAGATCTGTCACCGTCTCTCGCAGAAGGCGGGTCTCGTCGCGCAGCTCCACTCGGGCCGTCTCTGCCGGTGCCGCGCGCAAAGGCGTGATGGGACGGCGCGTGCACCGTCCTTGCCGGCCGCCGGCGAAAGCGCTGCACGAGCCAGAACTCTGCCAGTTGAAGCTGCAGGCAAGTGCAAGGCACGGCAACAGGATCCAGGGTCTCCGCACACGCCGCATCATCTGCTTCGCTTAGTGTTTTGCAGTTGCACACTTGCAAAGGTTTATGATGTACTACTTACTAGTTGCTAGTACGTGCCTCCAGGGACTTCAGCGAGCACATAATGTGGGTTGGGAACAGGATGCATGTTTCCTGCAAGCCGCTACATCCAGCATGGCATCGGTGACAGAGTGCCTGCGTGCTTCCGAAACAGCAAAAGCGGTGGAAGCCGGACTTTCAGCGACAAAGGCATGCTGTTTGGCTGTCGCGTCTGGGCGGCGATGGCCCTTTGCAGATTGCATGTACCCTGAGAACCTTCATGCTGACCGAGGTCGTTACAAACAAGGATCTCATACGGCGATACCTTACACAGCCTTAAACTACCAAACAACGATGCGTGACGGGACGTCGTGCAGACTTGCTGAGTGATGTCGCGTAGCTCCATGCTCCTCCACAGAGCGCCTCTTGATGTCCCATGGTGTCTCCCTTTCTCGGCTGACCTTCTGCGCCGTGGCGGAGGTACAGTGGAAGCCCAGGCAGCCGGAGCTCAAGTTCGGGATGGGACAAACGGGATCTGCAGTCAGCGCCGGAATGTCTGTCAGGACGCTGTTCTGCAACAAGCAAGCTGTCTTGTCCTTCGGAACTTCATGCGTTCTTCTTCCCTGTAACACAAGGACCAGCTGCGCCGCTCAACCCCGGCTGGGCATGGCAGTAGCTGCCATCTCTGCCGCGCTGCTCACTTGCTGTTGCAGCAATGCCCCGAAATGAGCAAAAGCTGCTGACGCACTCTCCCGGTGGCTCCCCTTCCACAAATCAGTCAGCGTTTCCGGCGAGCCTTCACTTACGTCCTCTTGCTCGAACTTTGTCTCTGCAATAGGCTCCATCTTGCTCTCCCTGACCGTGCTGCCCGAGTCCTGCAGCAGCTCGCCTACACGGAGCAGTGCGTCGTCCATAAGCCCTGAGACCGAGTTCCGCAAAGAGCGCAGTGCTGTGGAGGCGCTCGAGGTCGCCGTCTCGTCTGTTTCGTGGTGTTCGCTACGGGTCTCCGTGGGTTTGGTGGCGACCATTTGCTCCAGAGGCTTGAAGCTGGAGGTTGGGCGCCTCCGAGCCTTGCGCTGGCCAGAGCCGAAGCCCTGGGACTCGGAGTTTTGTGAGTCTGAGCCTCCTGAGCCTCGTGAGCCATGCGAGCCGGAGCCCAAAGAGCTCTCAGAGGCACGGCCGCTCCAAACCTCGCTCCCTGCACTGGAGCCATGGCCATGACGATTTTGGGAGTGGGAAGGGCTTCCGCCGCCCGTGCTCCAGCACTTCAGCTCTGCGCGTAGCTGCCCGACAGCAGTCTGCAAAGAAAGTGTTTTTCCTTGTGTCTTGGCCTCTTCGCTTCGCAGCTCCTCCTTTAACAGATCATTCCTTTCGTTGATTTGCTTTAGCTTCTCTCTCATCTGCTTCAGCATTCTGGCCTCTGACTCCTCAGCCTCCAGAACCTCCGAAGCCAGCAGGCGCTGCTCCTGCGCCCAACCATGCGCGGCATCCTAGGGCAGGATTCCCCGGTAGAGATGAACACAAACGAAGAAACAAACAACCTTCATCGGAAGATGCTGCAATCCCGTCCTCTTCTGCAGTCTTGATCTCTGCCAGCTCCTGATTAAGTTCTTGAAGCCGCATCCGACCATCCTCACTTTGCGATTTGCCCCGGTGGCGGCGTGGCGTGGAGATCGACCGGGATCTTGCATTCTCGTGTTCCTCCAACTCCTCTGCCATGAGCTGGTTCCGAAGTTGGAGTCGCTCCAGCTCATGCTGGGCCCTGGCTTGCGGCCGTTTCTCAGAGACGGGCGTGGATCGCTCCTCTGCGGCCTGCTCCAGCTCTTGCCGACAAGACTCCTGAGCAGTCAGGACCTAGTGTAATGTAACGACTTCAGTGTACAGCAGACTTCAATGTAAGTATGCGCTGCTGAAACCCTGAGATGTAGGGACTGGCACTGCAGAGTGGGCGAGGAGCCCTGCAGCAAGGGATTCAACTCGAGGAGCGCGGCTCTTACAGCGCATGTTCCTATGAGGCAACTCGCAGGGCATGTCAGCCACGGCCCATGCTACGAGTACCTGTGCATGGCGGAACACAGACTGCAGACATGATGTTGGAGTTCCCCGGCATGGCAAGCACAATGACTGCCTCCGTAGAAATGAAACCGAACAGGAGACACGGCACCTCATCTCTCAGCACACCTCCCGACATGACCCACATGCTCTTGTGCCGCGATTCCAAGCTCTGCCGCAGCGCTTGCTCCTCAGCCAGAAGACGTTGTCCCTGATGCCCGGCAGTTTGTAGGGCTTCCTGCAGTGCAAGACTCGGTCCCGTGCTACTTTCTCCTTGCCGCAAATGCAAGCGAATTGTTGGCCTTGCGCTTGAAAAGACAAAAGCTAATGGAAGCAAGCAGACACAGCGACCGCAAGCATTCGAGCCCGATCTATACCATTCCGCTATGCTGTCCTGGTTGTCAGCGTGCTGAGCTTCGGCCTTCGCGAGCGCTTCACGAAGTTCCGGCACACTGGGGCAGCTTGGGGCGGCCATGGCAACAAACTCGAGCGTCCGATATGTGCGCTGTCATCACACAGCCTCTATAAAAACGTTTTGACACAACAAGGCAGAGCTCAGGACCCGTGCCACACCTACTACAATTACAACTTCGGAAACGTGCAGCAGCCTTGCGTGTTTCGGCCACAGAAGCTGACAGTACAGCACCAGTCGGGTGAGCCGACTCATCAGCAGTCAACTCATCCTAATATACATAAGAAATATGCGGGGCTGTCGTAACAGCTCGCTGAATTAGTCCTGCGTAGTTCGCTGACCTGTCAAAGACTTTATGACCTGCCAAAAAACGTTCATTGGCGGTGGGACGTGCGCCTGTGCTAAAGGCAGTGCCATTCCGTCTTGAAGCCCCGTCAGGGCACGTCCGCGGTGAGAAGGCCTTACGTGCTCAGCACGCTCCCTGATAGCAACTCGTTGTGGCTCATGGCCCGATGGCTGCCCTGGTGGCACTCGAACAATAATGCAGTCACTTCTCGTGCTGAGTTTCGCAATGCGCAGCCACAGCGGAGCCGATAGTGTACAAGTGCACCGAAGCTGGCCACTTCTGGCTAACAAGGTCCGGCGACACCCACTCCGGCTGGGTCGGCGACCTGACATATCTCCACGGTTCGATATGTAAGGTGAGAAGACTCCCGGATGCTGCACGCCTGTGGCGCATAGTACGCGGGCATGGCCTGAGCCACATCAGTCGAGGTCGTGGCAGGCTTTTGCTATCCTCTGCTTATGATTATTCCATAGGTGCGTATCTTTATGCATTGTGCTGTTACACGATACCCATTGGTTGACAGGAAGTCGCTCAACAATGCGGCTTTGGTGTCGGATGGTCTCCAGTACTGCGGAGCATTGAGCATTGCCGAGAACAGCGGAGCAGCGTGCCGCTGTTCGGGTACTATACTACTATACTTCTGAGACGGATGCCACCTAGCAGAGTCAACCGTGCGGACAGACTGACTCAAGACATCTGCGGTAAGGTGCGTTTAGCAAGGACCCATACAAGCAAATGCAAAGACAACTCCTATACCAAAGCACTGCAAGTAAGGTTCGTAGGCTACGGAGGTCAACACGGCTTCCCTTATCAAGGTACAAAAGACCGGGGATTTTGACAATACCCTTCACTCACATGCATGGACAACATGACAAGAGTGTCCAGGAGTCTGGGACAGCGTGAATCAACAAGAATAACTGGAAGCCGTGGATAACCAAGTCAGGCCTTAGCATGTCCATTTACCTGATTTGACAGCCAGGGCGGTACGACAGACCAGGGGATGCAACCGGTAGTGTGCAAATGCCGTGCATATGTTCCGCGGGCCTGCTGAGCATAGTATGCCTGTGGCGCAGCTCGCGCCGGTTGAGGATATGCCTGAGTTGGACTGGCTATCCTGGCTCCTCAACTCTTGGGCGGCGTACATGAAACTTCCCGTGATGTCGTCGAGTCGGACAGACCGATCGAAGCTATACCGGGGTACGCAAACTGCTACGTCTAGTGCTGCGACGGCTTTCACTGCAGCTACAGAAGCAGCAGCACCAGCACCCTCACAGAAGCCACTGCCACCACCACCGCAATCATCACCACCCTGCCACAAATCAGCAACGGGGGCACCACTAGCAGCTGCATTGTAGTGATTTTGGTCGTCGGCATCATCATCACCATCAGCATCACCATCCACGACAAGATCTTGACAGTCGCCGTCATGATGATGACCCTTACGATGACGCCTCATTGCTGCGTGTTTGTCGACCCGTTCGGGAGTGAGCATTCTCCAAAAGGCCAAGTGGCTGGTGTGGCCTGGCGCTCAGCCACTAATCCTGCCGCCTAGCAGAGAGGTTCTAGGTTCAAGTTGGCGCTGGTTGATCGATTTACTTGGATAACAGGCGAGGGCTACGGTTTACTATTGCTATTGCACAAGCGGATATACTTGTGCTATGCGGTTCAGGAATCTGTGATGCAAGGACCAAAGCAACCTGCCTCAAGGTTATACTGATGCCGGCGGTTGGCTCTCAACTGTAACTCAAGCGCTAGCCGGTGGCTCCGGTCGTTATCATTTACCAGGCCTCCGACAGTGCAACATGTCTATGCGAGTGTAAGAGAGGCAAGGAATGAGCAGATATTGGTTCGCAGAAGCCGGACGCCGGATCGTCAAGCAATTTCTTGAGTTTCAAACTTGGGTGCCATACAGATGAACAAGTCTCTGCAAACTCCAAAAAACTCAGCCGAACACGTCGCCGAAAATGTGACATTCAATCTCAGATCCCCACCTGTTGGGCATACTGCTCTTGCATGGCTCGCTGCTGCTGGGCAAAAGCCTGGGCCAAGAGATTAAGAATTGGAAGGATTTCATGTTCTGGCCCTGAGCGATCTTTCAGGCTGAGCCCAGGACCTCCTTTTGCCTCGCCAGCTCGCGCTGCATCTCAGCCTGCATGCTGTGGCACAGCATGGCACGGCAATCGAAGATTCCTCTGTCTGCTCTGGCCTGCTTCTCAGCTGCCCGCTTCTTGTGTTCATACCTGGAGTCAGAAGATTGCAAAAGAGCAAGCCGGCTGCGAGCGGACTTGGGCACTGGGTCCGAGCAAAATCATCGGCGACCCGTTTCTGCTCGTACTCCAGCGTTGCTTGCGCTGCCTTTGCCGAAAACCCAGGGCCAAGGCTGAACCCCTCTCCGCTCTCTCTGCTCCCTCTTTCGCCTGCTGGTCCAGGACAGCCTTCCTTTCAAAGGCTGCCTGTTGAAGGCCCATGAGCTGATAGTTGGCCTGTGGCACAACAGCGACACGATCTTGAACACTTCGCAATGCTTCTGCATCTGAACTCCGCGTTCGGTGACTTTCGACAGAACTGCGACAAGCTGTGCCTAGCATTGTCCCACTCGGACGCACCCACCGCCTGCTGGTCGACGCTCATCTCCTGTGCTTTCAGCTGCTGGTCCACCTGGCAAGCTTCTCCCAATTCGATAGCCATTCGGCCGGCATATCCTCAGGTCGTGCCAACCTGCAAGAAGTACTGCTCCTTCTTCATTTCTGCTTCCTGCCACATAAGTACGTTCGTGCTATTGCCATTGTATTCAAACGAAGGATGTGCCGGTCGATTTCCCCTGGGCCTGCCGGAGGGCTTGCTTCTTAACCTCGTTCTGCTGCTCAATCATCTTGATGCCCTGGAGACCGAGTGCGCTTCAGTGCTCTACCTTTCGAGCACCGTTGCGCCTGATCGAGCTGTGCATCTAGGCTCTTCTCATAGGCGTGTTTCTGCTGCTCCACAGCTTGTGGATCTGGAATCCTCAGAATGCCAGGAACTCAGATGGCCGTGTCTGATCAACTTCAGAACGAGGCCAAAGCCCCTCAGTGAGTCTCGGCGGCTGCACTGGTGGCCCGGACCTGAGTCGAGCAGTGCTCGGCAAACTATAAAACACAATTTTGCAGGTGCCTTCACTTAGCAACGGACGCCTGTGGTTGTTGTGCAGCAGGCAATGCTATGCCAGGAAGCTGGCCTGTCTGCTGCCTGGACAACCAGAAGGCCCACCCCGAGACCAGTGATATCTCAAATGAGCAGCAACAGACTGCTGAAAGACCCCTTCAAACCAACACAGACTGCGACGTACTGTTCTGCCCCTTTCCACAGCTGCTTACGAGCTGCTGCTTGAAAAAATATGGCACCATCCCCTGTACCAACTTAGGCAGAGCTGCAAGAGTGGCTGGGTGCCGGCCATTGCTGAAGTGGAAGGTGCTGGCTGGTAGGAAACGGCTGGGTACCTCGGCCGTCACACCACCACAAGGCTAGTGGGGCTGGACTGCCCCCTCGCCGATAACTTACTCATGACCACAGTTATCCTGCTTGCAAAGCTTCCATATGCTTGGGTGCACGCGCTGCTGGCTGTGGGGAAGATACCGTGACGCCGGGCAGCTGCGTGGGTTGCCTGGCTGTGCGGCGTGCGCTTCATCTGCAGTCCTCCCAGACACCTGCCTCACGTGAAGGTCATGGCGCATGCTGTGCAACACTTCTGATTCACATGTTGTGGGGTCCCGCTGCTTCGGATGCATCGCGATGCTCAGCTGCGGACGCTTGGGGTTGCGCTGCTGTCACTGTGATGGCCGGTATCGCAGAAGGCTGCCTCAGCTTGACGAACCAAAGACACACATCCGGCACATTACAGGTAAGCGGTAGGTCTATTGAGACGTTCGGGCATCCGCCCGAGATCAGGCAATGGGATGTAGGGCATGTGGGAACTAGGCAGGCTTCAGCGTGCCACGTTTAGCGGCAGGCTCTGCAAATGCGGGCTCTGCCCAGTCAGTGGAAGGCTTCCAGACGTGACGAGTTTTCAGCAGTGGGCGGAGGCCAACTCAGCTCGAGCAGTAGCAAATGCCGAGTCTGCAGCAGCCTGTCGTCGGTCCTGCTTTGCAGCCATCGTTTGACTTGAGCTGAGAGCCAGGCGTAGATGCTTGGTATGCGGCGGGCTTGTAGGATGTGCTCGGGCACCTCAATTCTAAGCAGTCTGCTCCATGCTTTTTCGTCAAGAACAATTTGTCAGTTTGGCCTTCTTAAGATCAAACACCCTTCAAAGCCCGCGGCGGGGATCCTGCCACCTGGTACGTGATCGGCTGGCCCCTGTCATGGCAATCGCGGCATGCGTGCAAACTGCTGAAGAAAGGAAGGGTCATCCCGCATTGGTGAATCAACAATCAGGGAAGGACGAACTCCCATGCCAGTTCTGCGCAGTCGTAGACACTGCAGTGCATGGGGCCGCCTAAGGTCTTCACAGTCGTTCAGGTTCGAAGCAATGTGCATGTACAAGCAGAGGTTTGCAATACTAGGAATGCGCGGTCATGTTTATAAAAGAGTCTGTCTGTTGCTAGCGTGTGGCCACGTCCATAAAGATTTCTGTGACACCTGGCGATTACCAGTGGTTGCCCGTCCACTTTTCGAACAGCGAGTTCTCCTCACAAACTCCTTCTCGTCAGTCTTTCTTTCTTCCGGGGCTCGTTATCTCTCCTCGCTACCACGCCGCAGGAAGAGCTGTGTCCATGACCTCCTCCGCACGTGATCGCGCACCTGCAACCTCCATGCAGGTTCGACTTTCGACGGCGGCTTGATCATCGAAGGCTCGGCGATACTGAAGCTCACTTTCTTTCATTCACAAGGGTAGAGGAAAGGGGGGCGACCCCTTTCCCCGCGCTCCAGGACCCCCCCCCCCCATATGTTATGGGAATGCGTTTCAGAAAATGCTATCCAGGCACATTCGCCTCGATTCCCTGTAATGAATCAATCCGTAATTATGCACCGCGACACATCGATATTTGGACATGTCAGTCGCTCGTGAAGCAGTGTTGTACCCTTCAAGGAACTTTGACCGGAAAGCAACGCGACAAAGGTAAACGAAGCATTGCGATGGCAAGACGAACCTAAGGTTAAACACCACCTGCATAAACATTACCCATCGGGATACACAAACATGCCTTTCGAAGGCCTGTGCACGGCCTCACTATTGGCTACTCTCTCTTTCTTTCCACAGGGTTGGGGTGCAGGGGAGCAAGCCCCCCTACACCGCGCGCAGGTGCGCCCCCGCCATT